ATAGCTTACTGGACTGCCCCCTTGTAGATTTCACCATTTTGCCACCACTTCCCATAGTTTTACAGCCGTGCTCTTAGTTGTGTATTAACCTTCAGGTTATTTGGTATTACAATTTTCTTGTGAAAAAAATCACCTTAACTTTCTAGAAAAAGTCCGCCATTCTTTACCCTGTGGAAACTTCATAACTTCCCAAAATGTTCTTATTTTCGATATGCCAGACACAGTAACAACAAAGTCTCCAATGGAGACATTACTGGGCCCGCTCGAGCAAATCGACGATCAACGGGAGGGCCTTTACCTTTACCTTTAATTGTACATCAGAGATTCTCAGACTCATTGGCCTACTCTCCCCTTTTTCAGGACAAAAAAAAATTATTTTCCACTTTCTGACAGTCTATTTATAATGGAAAAATTTGAAAGCACTTATCTCACCCACCTTCACTACACCAAAGGCTGTTACCATCACCCCTGACCATCCTTCATTGGGTTGGAAGTTGGGGCAATTATTTCTCACTTAGGAAACTGCTATAAATGACTGTTGAGCTTGTAAGGTGAACTTCAAAATTATTTGTATCAAACAAACCTATAAGTAGTTGTTGTAACTTGATACATTGAGTCATATGGTTCCTTTATAATGAGTAGATGAAAGTTACAGTTGCATAGTGTATGATACAATATAACTTGTTACCTTTGAACACAAAATTTCCAGGCGATCATGTGCCTCCCTTGGCTTAGGTGCTGGTTTTACTTTCCAGCATCACTCAAAAAGTTGAGGGTGGTGTGGGGAGAGGAAGGGTACTGGGGCACAGCAATAGAACAGTGGGTAGGTCTCTTGCCTTGCACACAGCCAACCCAAGTTCAATCCCTGTCACCCCGAATGGTCCCCAATTCCCACCATGAGTGATCCCTGTGAGCGCAGAGCCAGAGTAACCCTGAGCACTGCCAAGTGTGGCCCCAAATCAGAAACAGTTTGTTCCTACATTGTAACAGCTGAGTGCTATCTCGAATTAATTTGCCCCTTGGAATCACCTCCTTTGAAATTCTTTTTTCAAACAGTAACAACATCTCACAATGGAGACAAAAAAAAAACCCCCGAAATCACAAGGCAGCTGTTTCTCCATTGCTAGTGGAATCCAGCTCCAGCCACGCTGGCATCTGCTCTGTGCGAACTGTGAACTCCTTCCATGTCTTCTCTGCAATCTGCTCACCTAACTGAAGGATCTTGCTCAGCTTCCACTGAGTTTTAGTTCCTACTGCCAGCATGCCCTAACTCTGCCTGCAGTCTTGTTCCCCAATGCTTTCTTCCATTAGGATACCTGAGTAATAACTTTGAAAATTCAAATTTGTGTCATTCCTTTCAGTACTTTCACAACTCTTGCCAAAAAGTCCAGCCTCCCTAGCTGAATCCATGACTGTAGCCAGAAATAATGATGTTACTGGAGCGATAGCACATGGCTGGAACGATAATACAGCAGGTAGTGTGTTTGCCTTGCACGCGGCCAACCCAGGTTCAGTTCCTTCGCCCCTCTCAGAGAGCTCTGCAAGCTACCGAGAGTATCCCGCCCTCACAGCAGAGCCTGCCAAGCTCCCTGTGGCATATTCGTTATGCAAAAACAGTAACAACAACGTCTCACAATGGAGATGTTAGTAGTGGTACCCGCTCGAGCAAATTGATGAACAACGGGAGGACGGTGCTACAGTGCTACTGATGGAAAGATCCCAACAGAGATGATGTAGAAAAATGTTTACTGGGAAAAGATATGCAGACTTTTAAGTATCTTTGGCTGTTTTGTGTGTAAAACTTTTCTAGTGTTGTATTCTATGCCTCGAGCGGGCCCAGTAACGTCTCCATTGGAGACTTTGTTGTTACTGTGTTTAGCATATCGAATGCCAGGCTCTGCCGTGCGGGCGAGATACTCTCGGTAGCTTGCCAGGCTCTATGCCTAAGACTCTGTTTCCAAAAATGGACTCTAGGTGTTTTGTACAACCCACACCACCCCCACCCCCACCCCCGCTTGCCTTGGCAGGGTTGAACTAAGGGGACATAGGAGTCTCAGATGTAGGAGAGTCTTCCATTTTTTCACTTCAAAGGTAGATTTCCTTCTATCAGGGAAGGGTGGGGGGGAGCACTGAGTAATATTTTCTCTTTCAAGGTTGAGATTGCACTTTAAGCACTGTCCTCCTGTTGTTCACCGATTAGTTCGAGCGGGCACCAGTAACGTGTCCATTGCGAGACTTGTTGTTACTGTTTTTGGCATATCAAATACTCCATGGGGAGCTTGCCAGGCTTTGCCATGTGGGCAGAATACTCTCGGTAGCTTGCCGGGCTCTCCTAGAGGGGTGGAGAAATCAAACCCGGGTCAGCCGTGTGCAAGACAAATGCCCTACTTGCTGTGCTATCACTCCAGTCCGAGGGGGAGAAGGCCAAATAAATTTGGGGACCTTTAGGATATCCACTTCATTGCTCTTACTATGTTTTCTAGTCATGAGTTCTCTTTCTTAAAAGGACCCCTCCTCCCCTGTTCATATACATATGTATATTAGGTATAGATGTGTATAAAAATGGGCATAGGATTACTTATCAGTACTTTGTTTTTCCTGGAAAATATCACTATCCTTATTTTGATACCGAAATTTGTAGGAAATACATGTATTTCCTTGGTTGTTTTGATGGGGGTGGAGGATCAGATCAGAAGGAGTTTAAGGACTGCTCTTGGCTTTGTGCTCAGGGATCACATATGATGCTTCACAGACCATGTGGGGTTCAGCTGCATGCAAGGCAAGCTCTTAATCCTTATACTGTATCCAGCCTGGAAATACATGTATTTGGTCTTCATCCACAGTTCCTGGCTCACACTCTTTCAAATCCTTGAAATCTCTAAGTGTTGAGAGCTTCTTGAACCTGTGGAGATGAGCACTGGTGCACTTAGGACTGGGAGTCCCATGCCTTTTTCCCGTTTTTCGTTCTGTGCATCTTTTCCATCCAACCATTCCTGTTTTACAGTAGTTGGTAACAAATATGTAGAAAACTGGCGATCTAGTACAGTGCTGGCTATATGACCCTCTAATGGTTCCCAGATGATTCCAGGATGGACAGCCATAGATGAAAATTGGGTAAATGGGGCACCGCACCAGGAAACCAGAGAGCCAATCTTCAGGGTCCTTGAATAATGCAGAAGAATAAAAATTTTAGATCATTTCATTGTTTATTTAATCTAAATTTGATCTCCGTTGACAACTTTTCATTAAAGACATTCTTTTTTCAATAATTACAATTAATATTTATTTCAAGTAGTAACATTTGCAGCTTCAATAAGTTAAAAATTGTACATTTCACATTAACCAGCTTCATAAAAATACTTTGAAGGCAGTTTCATCCAGACTGCAACTATGTGATTATTTTTTTCTTCTTCCCATTCTTCTCTCTCTTTCCTTTCCCAAATAAGTTCTTGCATGTATGGTTTGAGGTAGAATTTGTCCTCATATTTAGTATATTGCTTCTTGGGCAAGATCTGCACCCTCATGGTTAGGTCCAGAGCTCTCTTAAATGCAAAATATCCGGTCTTTATAAATGCTCTCAGGGAGCCTTTTGGTGGCTTATATCAGGTCCTCATCCTCATAAATTGTACATCATGCATTAACCCCAGTTTATAAACCCTGCAGCATTGTAATACCATTTCCGAAGGTCCTGCAGCCACCATCCCAGACTGCAGCTGTCTGCCAGCCCACTGTGTTGACCCCAGACCCACAAGTTTTAATGTCTCCTAACCTTTTCCTTTGTTAATTTAAAGAACCAGGACTTACAAAGTTAATGATAGTTGGGTTTTAGGCATGTAATGTTCTAGCACCAATCGGCCTTTTCTTCTCCTCAGTGGTAACACTCTTCTGTGGGATAAAGAGGAGAAAGCCAGTCAGTTCCCAGTTTTTTCAACACTTAGGAGTCTCCTAGATTTAAAAAATAATCCCATATGTTAGAGGCTAGCTAACTTTTTATCAGAAGGTGAATAAAAGTAACAGTCAAAAAGGAAACCAAGAGGCTTTAAAAAAAACTTATGAGTTGTAAATTTTTTGTAATTGTTGACACCCAAGCTGGTTCTGCCTTGCTGTCTCTCCCGGTTGTCGCTTCCATTCTTAGGACCATTTGTAGTCCAGCATGGCTCTTCAGATTCTACCTGTCAGTCCCAAGCAAGAGGAAGATGGCAAGGTAGACAATTAGACTCATACTATTCTTTGGTTTCCTTTAATCCTTTGGAAATTATACCCCCTAGTTTCTTTATTGGCTGGAACTTAAGTCTATAGCAATAGTTACCTATAAGAAAGGCTAAAACCATTGCTATCCAGAGTAAAATTAGGTTTCTTTTACCTAGGGAAAAGGTGAGTGTCTATTTTGAGAAAGAGTTGCCTCTTATGGACTCTAAGATGGGCCTGAGAGATAGTATGATGAGTAGGACACTTGCCTTGCGTGTGGCCAACCCAGGTACTCTCCCTAGCACCTTATATAATCTCCCAAGCACCGCCAGTGTTCCCTGAGCACAGAGCCAGGAGTAAACCTTGAACACTGCTGCATGTGGCACCCAGACAGAAACAACTGTAGAAGAGTTCGCATCCACATTTCATGAGCCGTCTCTGGAACTGGGTGGTAGCAGAGTTAACGATTAAAACCCACATGTCTTTATTACATACATTTATCAGAGGTTCATGATTGTTTCTACTATTACTGATTTAGCTACAGTTATGAAAAATGGATTTATCAGTAAAATGAGAACGTTTCTTTGCCACTTTTTACCTTAGCATTTACCACTATCATCCCTCACACTTGGATACTTCAGAATATTGTTATCTGCTTATTTGATAAACCTTTCTGTAATTATGATTGTTTTTCCTTCAAGAGTCTGAGATTAAAATTTAAAAGTAGTTTCAGTAGACTCTAAAAGCATTTAAGTTGATATAATAATTCCAGATAAATTATAAATTATTTCCTCTTAAATTTTCTCTTCCAGTATAGCTGAAATCCAGAAAGATGTGGAATACAGGTTGCCATTCACTGTAAACAACCTCACAATTAACATTAATATGTGAGTAGAATCTTATTTTTTTTTCATATAGTAGTGCTTTTAAACTTATTTGGTTCATTATTAAAAAGTTAAACTGTTTAAAATAAACTTATTTTAAACATCACATGCTAGTGACTATAGTTTTCAATTAAAACTCAGCAAATAAAGATATAAACTAATGTATATTGCAATTAAAAAAGAATTTTGAGAGGAAATGTAGTAAATAATTTTTAGTACTAACACTACTTTTTTTTTTGCACTAGTCATTGGCTGAAAATATGTTTGAAAAGTAAGAACAGTAGTGATGATCAAAGGGATTATGTATAGAAAGCCATTGGAGCTGTTTGTAATGCCAGAAATGCTAGAGCATTCTAGTTTACAGCAAAAGTAAAAAATATAGCCCTGAAGTTATTGTTATTGAATGGGAAGATTATACAAAATGATTGTTGAAGTACCTGTTTATCCTCAAATCCAAATATTATTTACCATAAAGAAATGGTACTGAGTAGACTTGCATTAGATGGCTGGCTGGATAGGAATGCTCAAATGTACTGAACTGGAAGACTGGACCAATGTGTAGTCCGTGCCCTCAATGTCGAGCAGAGTGCCTGCACAGAGGAAACTGTACTGAGATTGCTAAACATTGTTGTATTTTAACTTGTAATGTAGAAGATTTTTAAGTCCTCAGAGCAGGGCCGGAGAGATGGGACAGCGGGTAAGGTAATTGCTCATGGCCAACCTAGGTTCAACACCCTGCACCGCATATGGTACTCTGAGCCTCACCAGGAGTGATTCCTGAGCACAGAGCACAGCCTGGTGCTCCTCCCCTCACCCCATTCTCCCTCAGATTTCTCAGAACAGCTCTGCATATTGGGACAAATTTGTGACACGTAGTGGGAAACTAGTTTAGATACAAACTCAGTGTGATTGAGTTCCCAAGATTATTCATTAGCTTTTTATCAAACCAGTTTGATAATGCCAGATGTATGAATGAAGTAGATTTATCTTTCACTTCATTAAAAGGGCCTAGTTTTATTTTATTTTATTTTTTGTTTTGGAGCCACACCCAGCAGTGCTCAGGGCTTACTCCTGGCTCTCTGCCCAGGGATCGCTCCTGGCAGGCTTGGGGGACCATCCGGGGTGTCAGGAATTGAATATGGGTTAGCCTCGTGCAAGGCAAACGCTCTACCCTCTGGACTATCACTACCGCCTCTCTCGGTTTTATTCTTGACAGTGCTACCAACAACATGTTTTGAGACAACAGGGGATAAATGGAATTTAAACAGAATTATTTTTTATTTTAGAGGATATCATTCCTTATCTAGTGAATCCCCCAAAATACCTTTTTTAAGACAACTAATTCATGTTTGGTGGTAATCAAAAAAATGTTCAGATTTTTCCCTTTGTGGGGGCTGGAGCAATAGTACAGCAGGTAAGGCACTTTTCTTGCACAGAGCTGACCCAGGTTTGATCCACAGTACCCAGTGTGGTTCCCTGAGTCCACCAGGAATGACCCCTGAATGCAGAGCCAGGAGTAAGCCCTGAGCACAACCAGATATGGCTTCCCCAACCAAAAAAAAAAATAAAATCCCCTTTTAAATTGAGAATTTAGTGTTTAACTTCATGGTTGGAGAGATTAAGGTAATATGAATATGACAGCAACATTCTAAACCTAATACTTTGTTTTATGCACTTGGCAAAATTTCAAAAGCATAAAAGCTATAAGAAGATTACATATTTAGCACTTGGGGCTTTTTAACTAGCCAGCCTGGATTAATATGATTTACCTGACATCAGTGTCTGATCTCATTATCATCTCGAATTATATAGAATTTGGTGTGCTGTATTTAAAAGCAACTAATTTGTTGAACTAATTTGTAATTCAATTCCCCAAGTATAATTTCTACATATTTTTAATCCAATACACTTAATTGCTGAATCAGTGAAAATGTGAAATTGTAATTTGTTTTGAACTAATTTTGTTTTAGAATTTTATCATTTATTGTCTTTTCTTTCCCACCTTTTAACAGATTGCTTCCTCCACAGTTTCCTCAGGAAAAACCAGTGATCAGTATTTATCCACCAATAAGACATCACTTAATGGATAAACAAGGAGTATATGTCACCTCTCCATTAGTAAATAATGTATGTACCTGTCACGGTTTATTTCAGGGTAATGTAAAAGGTGTATTGCTTTTCTACTTAATACTCCTTAGAAATCTGAAATACTTAAAATCTCATTTTAGAATTAGTAATTGAAAAATAACATGTAGTAGGTAATATAAGATGATTATCTTTTACTGATAACATCCTGGATTATAGTAAATTATTCCATAATTATTAGGAAGGGATAACAGGCCTCAAAGTTTGTGAGTTCTGTGTAGTGGTCCTGAGACAATTTCCGTGTATGTACAGCGGCTTCCTCCCACTGACAGGCAATTCTGACTCCTGTAGCGTCTGAGAATTCATCTCAGGTTTGACACTGCTCCCAAACATAACATCATTTTCCACTGATTGAGGACTCAGTCTTCGAGACTATCCTCTTCTTAAGATGCAAGTTACCTGTGCAAATAGCTACAAGTCAGTTGTTTTGATGGGCCCTCCACTCAGGTTTAATTCGCTAGACCGGCTACACAATTCAAGAAGCCAGCTTACTATCTAGATCATCAATTTTTTTATTACAAAGGAGAGAACTCGAACAGTCAGATGGAAGAGATGCATAGGGCAAGGGGGAAAGGCAGGGAACTTCAGCCTCTCCGAGCACACTTCTCCACGGACCCCGATGTGCCCTCCTTTTGTGCTTTTGTGAGGATTTATTACATAAACATAGTTGATTAAATTGGCAGTTGAACTCTGCCTCTAGAGAGTGGGTGATACTAATGCCCCTTCTGGGGGGCTGGAAAGATGGTGGGGGGGGTGGTATATTAATATCCTCTTGTGCAATTGGGAATCCTTCCTGTTTGTTTGCTTAAAGAATATAGATTTTTGAGGTCCATGGAAGGATTCTTTTTCGGTAAAGAAGGCAGTTAGCTAAGTAAGTCTGGGAATGTCTGCTCTAACTCCTCTGGAAACTGAGGGCCTTTTTTTATGGGTGTCTAATACTCTTTCAGAAAATAACGTAGGTGGTTCAGTGACATTAACATTGTTTTTTAGCTTTTCGTTTAATTCTTCACTTGTGAAAATATGTTGTTTTAAAGTGATTCTACTACGACTTTATAATTCTGAAAGTGATTTTGATTATGTTATTAATGTTGGTTTTCAGTTTACAATGCACTCAGATCTTGGAAAAATTATTCAGAGCTTATTAGATGAATTTTGGAAGAACCCACCAGTTTTAGCTCCGTCTTCAACAGCATTTCCATAGTAAGTCAGCTTATAATAATATAAAATGTTTGTGTTTATACATTTATTGCATTTATTTTATCAAAGTGATCAAAATGTAGTTTAAGTATGTCTATATTTAACTAAAATATAGTTTAAGCTATGTCAAAATTTTGCTTTCTATAGTCTTACCTTCACACAGATACACACTATTTAGAGTCAGCTGTCTTCTCTAGATATTTCTCAAATACTTATCCCAGTCTCTTTTTAATATGTATTGCTCTTGATTCTTTAATTTTAGGTAATACTATTCATGTATTATAATTGAGGAAGACTTTAGCTATCTTTCACAAACCTATCTTTTCAATAAAATTATAAATTTATTTTATCATGTTGAATCTAAATATTGACTTTCAATTAGATTTTGAAGAATTTTTTGAACATACTAAAACTCTTATGTGAAAGCAACAATTCTCCTTTTTAGGCATATATATTTCATCAATTTATATAATTAAAAATAACTCGCCAGAAAAAAAAAGATCTCATGTATAATTTATTATCATTGTTACATAGACTCATTTAAGACAAGTAAATTTACGCCTGAAGTCTAATTTAATGTTTCTGTTTTTCTTTAGCCTATACAGTAACCCAGGTGGGATACCTCCCTATGCTTCTCAGGGTTTTCCATTTCTTCCCTCATACCCACCACAAGAAGCTAACAGGACTATCACTTCTTTGTCTGTTGCTGACACGGTTTCTTCTTCGACGACAAGTTACACAGCAGCTAAACCAGCTGCCCCTTCATTTGGTGTCCTTTCAAATCTGCCATTACCTGTTCCTACAACAGACTCTTCAGCACCGGTTGGTCCATTCAGTTATATTTTGTACCCTTGAAATATCTTTTCAGTTAACAAATATTCATGATCATACTCTTTGTACCAGCCACTAAGTAAGGCACAGAAGATTAATAGATTAAATCAGAGATGAAGAGGTAGCTCGGCGGATTCAGAGGCACAGACCTTGTGCACAGGAGTCAGGGGTGCTTTCACTCAGCCCAAGGGGCTCAAATTTCATTTATTTATTTTAGTATTTGGGCTCCACCTGGCTTTGTTCAGTGCTTACTCCTGGCTCTGTACTCAGGGATCACTCCTGGTGGGGCTTTGGGGTGCCAGGGATCAAACCCAGGATGGCTACCTCAAAGCAAGTACTATACACTCTCACCTATCTCTCCAGCCCAGATATCAAACTTCATTTACTTTTTTATTTTTTTTTTGCATCGCACCCAGCAATGCACAGGGGTTACTCCTGGCTCATGCACTCAGGAATTACTCCTGGCAGTGCTTGGGGGGGACCATATGGGATGCTGGGAATTGAACCTGGGTCGGCCGCATACAAGGCAAACGCCCTACCCGCTGTGTTATCGATCCAGCCCCTAGATCTCAAACTTTAAAAGCCATGTATCTTAATCTATCCTTCATCTACCTGCTATCTTCTCTTAAGAGTTATATGACTGTTACACTTCATAAAAATTTCAAAACTACTGCTTCTCGTAAATAACACTTGAAAGAGATTTATTTTCTAACCATTTATTTGCCTCAGAAAGAGTGCTAATGCAGATACCAATGTGGTACCCAACAAAAATATATTAAATGCAGGCTAGACATAATTAGTTCAGAAGGTTTTTGTGAAATGTGTGCCTGCTTGTGGAAACCCCATCACATGCTGTCGTTTTTCCCCACAGAATGTCCAGGTGTAGCCCTGCTGACCAGAGCCAGCCTTCATGAATTGTATGGCTTGGGAGTGGCTATTGAGTTCCACTGGAAAAATCCTAATTGTAAAAGATAGTAAAATAGAGGCTGGAGTGATAATACACTGGGTAGGGTATTTGTCTTGTTTACAACCAACCCGGGTTTGATCCAATCCCCAGCACCCCATATGGTCTCCTCAGCCCACCAGAACTGATCCCTGAGCACAAAGCCAGGAGTTAGCCCTGAGGACTGTCAGGTGTGACCCAAAAACCAAAAAAATTAAGAATAAAAGTATATAGTCAAAAAGATGAGAGTAAGACTGTAAAATATAAAAGTAGAGATAAAAATTTATGAGATATATTACACTAAAAATTTATAATAGGAACAATTAAAAAGATGGCTGAAATTTAATATCATTTGAAATTCTTTTTAGGTAAGTCAAAATGGTTTTGGTTACAAGATGCCAGATGTCCCTGATGCATTTCCAGAACTCTCAGAACTAAGGTAAAACATTTAGAGTATACAATTTTTTGTATTTCATTTATAAATTACAAACTAGATCGTTTTCATATTTGTTTTTGAATGAGACTTTAAAAATTCTTACTGTGCATACATTACAACTGTTTAAGTAGGAAAGTTTCATATGTCAGTTTGAGGTCTGTAGAACATATTTATTCAATAAATAATAAGCACATAGGGACTTTTCTAAATGCAGGGAATAATATAATATTTATAAGATTAAAAGGTCATGTCTCTAACATGGAAATCATTCTTGTGAAAATTATTTCTCACTATGTCGTCTCTAAATATTTTTGAATATGTTTGTATGTGGAGAAATAAATTAGAATTCTCTTAAAGTATTAGCATATTGAGTTTTTCTAATTTTTCTGGTTTTACTGAGGTATAATTGACATATAACTCTGTATAGTTGTTTAGCATAATGATTTGCCTTACATATATATTGGCAAAATCATTAGTACAGTAAATTTTGTTAAATATGTTATACAGATAGCAAAATAATCCTTTTCCTTTTTCTTATGATGAAAACGCTCAGCATCATTCAAATAGACCACACAGCACTGTTTACTGTCATCATACTAGTTTTCTCCCTGGAACCACATACAGTCCTGAGCACAAAGCTAGGAGTAAGCCAGGTGTACCATTGGATGTGGCCACATCCCATTTGTTCTGGTCACTTTTTTATCTTCTTAGTATATCCCACTGGAGGTGCACAAATGCCCATGAAAAATCCTACAAGCTAAAAAATATTTAGGCTCAGCATGTGGCCAAATGATACAGCATTTACCTTACCTTGTATATGTGAAGCCTGGCCGTAATGTGTTTTCCAATAAGTTAATAAGTAAAGTTATTAATGTAATAAGTAAATAAATATCAGGAGGTAAATCATGAAGATTTACCACACCTTTAAGGTTTATTAGTTTATTAGTATAATTACAACAACCCCAAGGAGATAGGTATATAAAAGGTTCTTTTTTGTTTTTTAAAAAAAAATATGGAAATGTAAAAATACAAAAAGGCAAATCTATCTGCTTAACTTAATTATAAAGTGTTTCTTCTACTTTTGATGGGGGAGAGACATATTAATTTCATGGGTTAAGATTTTTTTTTTACAAGTTCAGTTTGAAGAAATAGTCCAGGATTTAGGAGCCTGTCTTGCAGGTGGCCAACTCCAGTTCAGTCCCTGGAACTATGTATGTTCACCTACACACCATTAGGACTTATATCTGAGTACAGACCAGGAGTAATCACCGAGCACTGTCAGTGGATGTTATTTTTTGCTTTTAAAGTTAACCTTTTTTTGTACTTATATAAAAACAGATACCTCAAAAGTTATTTGGAACTTTCATTCAGTTGAAAAATTATGAATATCATCTTGGAGGAGAAACTAATTCATTAACCTTTTTTTGTTGTATTTTTAGTGTGTCACAACTTACAGATATGAATGAACAAGAGGAAGTATTATTAGAACAGTTTCTGACTTTGCCTCAACTAAAACAAATTATTACTGACAAGGATGACTTAGTAAAAAGTATTGAGGAACTAGCAAGTACGTCTTCTCTGATTTCTTTAATTTTCTGAGAAAAATGTGATCTTTAATTAGAAATAAACCAGGAATTTATCTTACAGGGAAAAATCTCCTTTTGGAACCGACTTTGGAAGCCAAAAGACAAACTGTTTTAGAAAAAGTGAGTAGTTATCATTTTGAAGAAATCCATTCAATTTAAAAATAGAACAGGGCTGGAGCAATAGCACAGCGAGTAGGGCGTTTGCCTTGCACGCCGCCAACCCAGGTTCGATTCCAGGCATCCCATGTGGTCCCCTGAGCACCTCCAGGAGTAATTCCTGAGTGCAAAGCCAGGAGTAACCCCTGCGCATTGCCAGTTGTGACCCAAAAAGCAAAAAAAAAATAGCATAAAACAGTATTTTTATTCTTTCTTTTAGTATGAATTACTTACACAAATGAAATCTACTTTTGAAAAGAAGATGCAAAGACAGCATGAACTTAGTGAGGTAAGATTGTTTAGTTCTCTTTTTTTAACATAAGAGCTTAAAGTGTAAATGTCTGTGAGACATTATTATAATTATATTGATTACAGATAATGTAACTATAGCTATGTAAACAATTAGAGTTATTAGTTTCTATTGTGTCTGGTTAGTAAGTTCTGACTTTATATGCTAAGATACTAGTTCTCATGCATGAACAAGATGTTTCACTTATCTGTGTTCACTTGTTTATTTTGTAGTTCTTCAATTATGTAAGCATATTGTCTGGTCAAATTTATCCCATCACTTTCCCATATTCTGCTGTGAAGTGAAGCACTTCACAGTGAAGCATTCAGTTCAGCTCACAATCAAACGATGAGAATGGCAGGATATAGAAGTCACTGAGAATTATTTTGAAATAAAAGTTCACTACTGTGTTTGACTACTGTCCCCTTTTCAAAAAAGTACACCAATCCACACCCCCATAGAAGTATTTTGGGGGCGTGGCAATTGGTTCATTCTCACGAGCTCTTCCTGGCTCTGTGCTTCGGGGTCATCACTGGCAGTGCTCAGAGGGCCATATGTGATGACTTACCACATGCAAATCATCTGTACTATTTCTCTGGCCCTGGAAATCTTGAAATTAATGGAAAGTACACCCATTACACCCAAGGTTTACTTTCTGTCCCTCATGCTGGATTATCACCCACTTTGGGAAACATTGTTTTAGTGGCTGTATAATACCAGTTCCTGAATCCCCAGTAGATAATGATGATTTTCCTAGTTTTATAATAGTTTGTTATCCATAAAGTGATTTCTAATGAGCTCAGTGTTTTCTCCTAACTTCAAAAACTAAAGACATGGGTGGTAGCAAAATTTTTTAGAACAGGATTTTGTAAGGCGAATAATGGATTGTTTCTGCTTACCCCTACCTTGTCCTCTTTCCTACCCTTATTTTTTCTGAATTTAAACTAATACATGACTTTCTTTCTCAGAGTTGTAGTGCAAGTGCCCTACAGGCAAGACTAAAAGTTGCTGCACATGAAGCTGAAGAAGAATCTGATAATATTGCTGAAGATTTCTTGGAGGGAAAAACTGAAATTGATGATTTTCTCAGTAGCTTTATGGAAAAGAGAACAGTATGTAATCTTCACTTGAGAACAAGTGATAGCCTAATACCACATCACTTACTTACACATAGGAGGAAAAGAAACTTAAGCACATTTGCTGAGGTGTGGAGTTTTGAGTGCCATGAGAGAAAGCAGAAGAGCCGCTGTTGAGAATGAGAGCACCCTCCTCCTGTCACTTTAATATCGTTGCTCTGGGTACAGAAGCAGATAATGTCAGATAATGGCTCAGTTTCAGAAATAGTCTCTGAATCATTTTGTATTAAAGCTAAAAAGTCAACTTGATCGTCTGAATAGTTACACTCCTGAATAAACCGTTTCACAGATTGTTTTTTTTAGGAAATAATCTAAGAATCGGGGTAGTAATGCAACAGGTAGGATCTTGCCTTGCACACTGCCGACCCTGGTTCAATCCCCAGCACTCTGTATGGTTCCCTGAGTACTGCCAGGAGTGATCCCTGAGTGCTGAACTAGGAATAAGCCTTGAGTACCAGCAGGTGTGGCCCCAGACCCCAAACCACACACACACACACACACACACACACACACACACAAAGAATAATCTAGGGTCCTGAGCAATAGTACAGCAGGTAGGATAGTTGCCTTACGCACAACCAACCTGGATTTTTTTGATCACTGACATTGCATATGGTCACCTGAGTACTGCCAGGTGTGCCCCCCCTCCCCAAAAATAAGCTACAGAATTTTTAAAAATCTATATTGTTGAGAATGTTTTGATAATACCCGTTCTATTCAAAGAAAATGTTGAAAGTATGCTTAAGGGCTGAAGAGATACTGCAGCAGGTAGAGAGCTTTCCTTCCACTTGGCTGACCTGGGACTTAATTCCGGGTACTACATGTGGTCTCCTGAGCGTCCCCTGGAGTGATCCCTGATGGCAAAGCCAGAAGTAGCCTTTCAGCACCACTAGGTGTGACCCAAAAACACTGTAGCACTGTAACACTATTATGTTGTTCATTGATTTGCTCAAGCGGGCACCTGTAACATCTCCATTGTGAGACTGTTACTGTTTTTGGCATATCGAATATGCCACGGGGAGCTTGCAGGCGCTGCTGTGCGGGCAGGATACTCTCAGTAGCTTGCTGGGCTCTCCGAGAGGGATGGGGGAATTGAACCCAGGTCAGCAGCATACAAGGCAAATGCCCTACTTGCTGTGCAATCGCTCCAGCCCCAACCCAAAAGCAACAAAATAAAATTATGTTTCATAGTTTCTTGCCCTTTGATCGTCCCAATATTTATCTGATTTTTCTGAAATAACACTCCCTCTGCCACTTTATTCTTGCCAGGGACTCAAACCCAGGGCCTCAAAACATGCAAGGTGCATCTTCTACTGCTAAACCACATCCATGGCCTATATTACATTGTAATGAGAACATTTTATTAGTAAACTTCAGGAAACATGTATTGTTTATATGCTACCACATAGCATATCTTAGTATTTTCATTTTTCTATAAGAAATCAAAGCTTAGGATATTCATATCATGCCTATCGTTAGGGATTAGTAAGACAATGGATTTTTTTTTCCCTTTTCTGTCTTTCCCCAAAACACTGATTGCTGGTCCACTGTTCTTTGGGTATGCTATCACTACTTGAACTTTTTAGTTTTGTTTTTGGGCCACAGCCGGTGGTGCTCAGGGTTTACTCCTGGCTCTGTACTCAGAAATCACTCCTGGAGGGCTTAGGAAACCATACAGGATGCCTGGGATCGAACACAGGTTGGCTGAATGCAAGGCAAATCTTATCCACTATACTGTTGCTCAGGCCTTTGTACGTCACAGTTTTACTTATTAATAACAGGAGTGTGTTTTTTTTCATATTTTGAACAAAGTTTCTTAATAACAGGAAATCGATAAGAAGGGTCATTTTGATAAACACCCTGGAAATTTGCATATAAAAATTAAATGGTCATTGATTTGATTGATTCGGGGTTTTTTTTTTTTAATTTTAAGCTGCCTCAATGCGTTAATTACCAAGGGTTTAAATAGATTTTTAGAATTTTCTCATAATACAAGAAGTGGTAGGCATATCATAGAGAAAACTTTATCTTAAGTAATCTTTTTAATCTTCTAGATTTGCCACTGTAGAAGAGCCAAGGAAGAGAAACTTCAACAAGTGATCGCGATGCACAGCCAATTTCATGCTCCCCTCTAGGTAAATAGTGCAACAGAGTGTTCACATTGCATGATATTCTTTCATTGACGTGTTCTCTCATGTCATCTTATAGGCATATCTCATGTAAAATGTAAGAGATGAAAATTTATTTTACCTGTGTTTTTAAATTTTTTCTTTTACTTCCAGATTTTTTTGAAATTGCAATGAACTGCCAAGGAAGTAATTGGACACAAAACTGAGCACACTGATAGTTATGATTTGCAAATTGGCCTCTCATCACAGTGACTGTAATAATAGATCCACTGTCCAGACTATATGCGGGACTGAGGCTGACTTTGTACAGATTTGAGTGATTTCTTTGATCTCTGCTCTGTGCTTGGAGAAATTCTTCTGCACTATTTGCACTAAAATGTATATTGTTGATAAATTCTATCATATTTAAGTTCTTCTCCTGTATTATTGATTAAATACCTATGCATGTAGTTTTAATTGGTTCTAATATTTTATAAAGATTATTTCATTTAAATTTGTATTAATTTGAAATTGCCTTATTTCTTTATCAAGATTAATTTGTTATTTAGAATTTCTCTAAGCTTTTTTTAGAACTTTCTATTTAATTGTAAAAATACTTTTTCTTTCTTTCGGGATAAAACCTTCAAGAACAGTTTGTTTTTAAATATTTGTAGTGTCAGGAAATATCAAGACTGCCAATGTGCCATCTCAAGAAAGTTACTTTTAATACATAAATCAGAAGAATAAACTAGTTGCTCTTGCATAGTTCTTTTTTTTAATTAAACTGACACTTAGGAAAATATACACATAATAGTTTTTAGATGGAAATGCCTTTCACTTAAACTTTCATGCAAAATTTTTTTGTATCTGAAGTGTTTATTTGCTCGAGCGGGCCCAGTAACGTCTCCATTGGAGACTTTGTTGTTACTGTGTCTGGCATATCCAATACTCTCGGTAGCTTGCCGGGCTCTCCGAGAGGGGCAGAGGAATCGAACTCGGGTCGGCCATGTTGGCCGCTTGTAAGGCGAACGCCCTAGCCGCTGTGCTATCGCTCCAGCCCTTAAATAATGATAAACTCAGACATAAAAAGTTCGTAAACTTTTCTGATCTTTGCTGTTCAGTGAGGAAAAACTATAACAAAGTTAATACTAAATTTAGGTACTTGAATTTAATTGGATTTTCTTTTCACACTGTGTTGTGACTAATAATTCTCTTCTGTGCCACGTCACAGAATGAACATGTTTTAAGAGAAACCAAGAAAGGTAATAAAGAAACAAGCTTTAAACCCTATAACCATGAAATTTAGGAATAAAGCACCAAACATCCTGTGGACAAGTGAGTTAGGATAGGGGTTAAGGCACTTGACTTGCATGTGGTGGACCCTGGTTTGATCCTCAGCATTAAATCTAGGAGTGACCTCTGAATACATAGCTGGGAGTCAGCCCTAGCACCACCAAAAACAAAAAACAAACAGGTTGGCACGCCCCCTCCCACCCTACCCCCCACCCGCCAAAAAAAAAAAAAACACCAAAAAAAACGCATAAGAGAAAAGTATAAAACAACCTAGTTTATATTTTTTAAATTTCTTCCCAGTAAGATTGTCATTCCAAACACCAGCAGAAATGAAAACAATTTCATCTTTCTCTTTCTCTTACTTTTTGTCCTATGTGTGTTTTTAGCAGTAGAATTTTAGGAAATTTTAAAGTTATTTTCTTAGACTTCAATACTTAAGTTTACATTTGTGGCACAGAAAGTATATAAAATGGACTGTAAAGATGAACTTCATGTAAAGAAAATAGATTTTTAGTAACTGTGTTCCCGGCACTGTGTTTTAAAATATGCTATTTAATCTTCAAAATGCTCAGATAATAAAAACATAATGATGGTTTCGTATTTAGTCATGAGATAACTGAGGTGAATGTATTTCAAGTATGTGGTGGGGTCTTCTGGGCATTCAGGAAGCTTTCCTTCCAGCCCTGGCCAGCAGAGCTTCACTTTTTCTAGGAATCACTGCAGAAAAGAAATATAATAGTCCTCAGTCTTTTGTAAACAATCAGGTAGCTTTCTTAGGAACCAGGAAGAGTGCAGAATGAGAGAGCTGCAGACCATAGCTGTTTTTTTATGGACTTTCTTATTTTACTAATTTTATTGAGTACCTTGACCATTGTGACATAAACATTGTTTAAGTGTTTATTTTTTGTGTATAATTGTGAAAGATTTCCTCTTAACACACACAAAATCATTTCACTATGCAGTTAAGTCATTTTCACAGAATTACATAAATAGTACATCTCGGTGCTTTCATCCTTAAACTTGAACTGTCCGAGTTGTATTCTAAACTAGTTAATGGAGCTTGGTTTCTTCTTTCAAAATTACTGTTTTGGATAACCACCTTACAATCCAGTTAGTAAAAAGAGTTTGATTTTCATTATCAACATTTATCAAACAAATTCATGTAGAAATAACAGGTTATGTAAGTCGTCCAGTGGGGGGTGGAGAAAGTCTGTATTTGATTGTATGAACTGTGGTTCTGCTATTGCAGTAGAAATTAACTGACCTTTCTGTGATTTCATGGCAATTTTTTTTTTCTTCTTAAAATGGGCTCTTTTAGAGAAGCAGTGCCAGAAAGGAAAGAAATAAAATAACCTGTCAAAGCAGAGTTTCTAAACTAGATGGAAATCAGAATGATTTTTTAAAAAAAGTTAATAGTTTAGGAGTCTTGTCATAGATATAGGCTATAACCTCAGAATAGAAAGTTCTTTAAATGAAGGAGCCAGAGATAGCACAGAGGGTATGGTGGTTGCTACTAATCCTGGCTCCCATCATCACATAAGGTCCCGCTAGCAACCACCAGGAGTGCAGAGCCAGGAGTAGCCCCAGAGCATCACCGATGGGCCCTCCTCCCCACAAAAAGAAAGTTCTCTAAATCAGTGAGATTCATGCTATAGGTTTTTACTTCAAAGTTGGAAGATTTTCTCGGACAAAACTAGACTAGGATATTTGCAGGGAAATGAAGATTGTTTAACAGGTAAGCTTGATAATTTATATATATATACTAAATAGAAGCACCGCTAAGATTTTCTTTAGTGGATGAAAATTAATCATGTGCCCTTAAAAGAACAGAAAAATCTGCAGGTATTTCCCATCTCTTAATTTTTATTCTAAAAAATAATTATTTGTTGACTGATACATTTTAATTTTTTTGCCTTCATATTTCAGTAATTTCAATAAGTAATAAAACAGATGAACCTTAGATATTATTTGTAATTTTCCTTCGGTCAGTTTTACATTGTTTTAGTCCCTGTGTGCTAAATAAATGACAGTACTTCCCAATTTATATTTGATTTAAAATAAAAATGTAGTGCTAGAGCTTTTGGTTTCTTTGGATTGGTCATACTTTTTTCTTTTTTCTTTTTTTTTTAGGAGAGGAATTTTTATTGGCCATTAAAATACTATAAACCAAATATATGTAAATTTTACGGATTTCCACAGTTCTAACATTCGTACAAATAAGAGGATCATTACAAAATTGTCATTTGACTCTATTACCATTTTTTTTATAATTTATTTATTTCGAATACCCATCCCTCCACCAGTGACCATTTCCCACCACTGCGTATCCCAGTATCCCTCCAACGCCCCCCCCCCCCAACCCACCCTGTCTCTGTGGCAGGGCATTCCCTTTTGTTCTCTCTCTCCTATTGGGTGTTGTGTTTTGTATAAGAGTTAAGCCTGATTTTCAGGGAGAAACGTTGGATGATTTACTTCCATTGATCACTTTGTATACACGGTTTGGAGGAAAAGTCCTTGTTCCGCATCCTCGAGCTATGCTTGTAGAGGCTTCTGGTCATCGGGGTTCCATCTGGAGGAGGTGGGTTGCGGCACCTACCCCATCTGGGACTTCCTGGTGATCTCGGCTCTTTTTAGAACCTGGTGCCTTCTCCGGGAGCTGTGGAGTTCGCGTGTTCCCCCCCCCGCCCCCCCCCCGCCCCCGGCCTTTCTTCTCTGCGGCTGTGTGCTGTAAAGATGGCACTGGGGGGCAGGTTGTGGGCATGACTTCCGGAATCAGAGGTTACCTGGGAGTGGTCATACTTTTTTCAAGGCCCTGTGAAAGCATAGTAAAATTTTAAAATGCAATAAATGTAACTTTTTATTTAGATTTCAGTGTTAGCATAATTTGCAGTAAGCAATCAAAATGAACATGTGTAAATTATGTCCTGTAAAATGGGTCTGACTAAAGAGTTTATCACTTTAATGTGATATTAATTCATTGAATTTTGGAATATTAAATATAATATTTGCTTTTCATGATAATTGCAAAGTTTTATTTAATATGGTGTTATTTTTAATTTATTTAAATGTGTATAAGATACACACTACCAAATGGAAGTAATGAAAGTTTTGTCCTCAGGATCAGACAGCATAGTTCCTAAGAGTTGACCATAAATTAAGTTCAACAGCAGCTTTTGTGAACATACCCCACATATCTGTTATTAATAAGCATACAGGTTATATGCATACAGGTTATTTCAGAAAATGAATAAAAGTCCCTTATGCATATAATTTGGAACTGCTTAGTACAGCGTGCTCATAATTTATGTTCTGAAACAATTATTTTACAGTAACAAAAGCTTTACTTTCAAGTATGATAAACATTTGTTATGCAAACACATTTATATTTTATACTTTATTACATTCATGTCTATTGCCACACTCCCTCCAAATTTTTCCTACTAAAGATTTTGGCATTGTAGCTTTCATGCCCATTCTTATTTATTTTCATTTTAGCACAATTATGCTAACAGTCAATATGTAACACATTATGCTAATATTTAAATGCCAGACAAAATATATATTATTATATTTAAACAGTCTACTTTCAGATCAGTCTCTTCCTTCTCTTAAAATCTGTCTTCTCACTCTTCAAACAATAATAAATGTGACTCACTGATTCACTGAAATCAGTTATCCTGGTTATCATTTATATTTATCTTAATTACTCTTCAGTTGTTTCATAGCTGACCTGGAAGTACTTGACACTGCCCAAGTCTCTTTCCCTTTTTTCCAGAAACTCTTAATTGGCTTTTATTAATGATTCAGCCAGACTTTCAAAGCAATTGACAAGGAGCTTTTGCAAGTTCTTCCTCTGTTTATCCCATTTTCCTCCTCTGAAGACAACTTCAGACATGAATTTAGCATTGTGAATGTACCAATTACTTCCAGTTTCTGTCTCTTTTCTAAGTCTACACCTATGTATCTTAAGTACCTAAGTTGGCATATTTACTTGGACATATAGGTTGTCCACCTCAACTTTTGTAAGACTGAACTTCTGCCCCATTTCTACTCTTCGTGACGAATCCCAGTCTCTGGTACTTTCCTACCGGACCCTGTTGTCACACCTCACTGTAATTCCCTTTTACTGCTGCCACTTGGTCTGGCACAGCACGTCACACAATTAAGCCTGATGTTTAGATAACTACCTCACTGGTGTCAGTGCATTCTTTTACATCCAACAGTC